CATTTGATTCTCTGACAAGCAGACCAGATCGTCTAAAACCCGACAAGATGGCACATATATTCGATATATTCGTTGAACAATGCAAGAACAACTTTTCACCAGGGGAATATCTCACTATTGATGAGATGTTTATTCCGTTTCGAGGGCGGTGCGGTTTTAAACAATATATTCCCAATAAACCCTCTAAATATGGATTAAAAATGTATAATCTAGTTGATTCTGGAAATGATATAACTTGTGCAATAAAAATATATGTGATACTCATTTCGTATTACTGTGCAGTGAATGTCACGGTTGTGATGATTAAATATTTGTTAGTTCAATCATCGTTAATACGACATATTTATACACTCAATGTCCTATAGTATAGAATGAATTTGTGATTGCTCTTATTATTTTTGATCGTTCGACGAATTGTGGAGATTTATTTGAATGATTTTTCAACTTTAACACACTTCATTTTTTCTGATGATGCTTACACTGTTTAAGCGAAACATGTAAAACTAGAACTTATTATTCAAAATAATATACACTGAGTTAATTAATTATCGTACCCGACGTCATCATTGCAAGTATGCAACCAACATCGCAAATCGCGTATTGCAATACCAATATTGTGCTATTTGTTGCATACTTACAATGATGACGTCGGGTACGATAATTAATTAACACACTATATATTAAACCAGTAAAAGTACAAAAACTATTTACATTCCTTTAACCGACATTTGTTCGTTCCTCCACAGAGAGGTATTATTGGAATACATATGTTGCGTATAACAACGTTACGTAACGTTGGTTTACAATTAAATTCTCCAAGGATCATCACGAACTCATTGTGATGTTATTTCTGGAAATTAGATGTTTACATTTACGTTGTAACTCGGGTTGTCATTATTTGGAGTTCCCAGTATCTTAACTGGATCGAAGAGGACTTTTTTGCAAAAAGTGGATTTATTAACCAGCAAAATCGACCGCAAAGCCAAATAATTACAGAAAGAAGATTTTGTTGTGCATTGGTGGGAACAACAAGTCGTCCTTTATTCATTATCAACAACAATTAGTGAAATTAAACCATGAATCATCAGGAGATCGCAAGACAAGACAGCATCAAAAGATCATGACCGAAAAAGATCATCTAGTGGAGGCCAGGACAACAAATCGGAGTGTGGGAGGATCGCAATAAAAAGGGCTGGATGGCATCAAGAAGATTTGGGCTCCCCAAATCTTCTTGATGCCTACAAATGGTGTCAAACAGAGAGACATGGAAAAACATGGGAGAGGGGAAGAGCTTGGTAACCAGTTTCGGATGTTTCAATGAAGAAAGGGCCAATAGATATTGGATGGAGGATGAGGAGAGGAGCTGCAGACTATATGGGGAAGGTTGGGAGTTTTTACACCATCTACTGATAGATGAGATAGATGGGAGAGGTGGTGGCAGCGGGGACACGTAGGGTGATAGTATTGTACTTAGCGTAAATTGTAACCTTCTGGGAAACAATAAATTATTATTATTATAGATTTAAAAACATGGAAGAGGGCCACATTCAGGAGTAGATAGGGCTGACAAAGAAGCTTTTCGGAATAGTTGACTAACTATGACGATGTCAAAAGTTGGCTTGATGATTGGATCACTTCCAAAGATCAAAAAATTTTCTTTGTATAAATTATAAACTCTTTAAAAATGTTGTTATTAATAATATTGCTTTACTATAAAAATTATTTTTATAAAAAATCACCAATTTGAAAAACTTACGTGTTATTNATGAGACTTGTTATACCCATCAAAGGTTCAAATAGGAATATTACTACAGATAACTGGTATATTAGTATTCCACTGGCTTTGGAATTGCTCAATAATTATTACCAAACCCTTGTTGGTAGTTAAAAAAAAGACACAAGAGGGAAATTCCTCATGAATTTTTAACAAGCAAGTATCGCCAAGCAAAAATCGGTCTATTTGGTTATAAAGATAAAATGTTGCTGGTATCGTATGTACCAAAGAAATATAAATCGGTTGTACTTGTTTTATGATCGATCAGTCATCTGCGGATCAGAAACCACAAGTGATAACATTTTACGTCACCAAAGGTGGGGTAGATATTGTAGACCAGCTTCCTCATACACCTCTTCAAGAAGAACAAAGATGTAGCCACTGACCTTATTTTTTGCCTTATTAAATATTGCAGGTATAAACGCATTTGTAATTTATAATTACATGAAAAACAAAGAAGACAAAATGTTGCGAAGAACATTTCTCAAAGAAGTCGCTCTTAAATTAGCCGAAGAACAATTGAATTTTGGAAGAATCATTGCAACTATTCCTACACCTCTAAAGAGAAGATTGATTGATGTCACTTTTGCAAATACCGACCCAGAACCGTCCAATAATAAAATTAAGAAACAAGGATGGTGTCACCTATGCTCAAGAAAAAGCAGGACATTATGTAACTTGTGCAATAAAAATATAATATATGTGATACTCATTTCGTATTACTGTGCAGTGAATGTCACGATTGTGATGAATAGTAGTATAATAATGAGAGTTCTGAAGCGGAAGTTGCTCCCCTTGTGACATCACGCTCCAATGTTATAAGTATAGGAAGTGTTGCCCACCTAAACTTGGGGAAAAAAAAAATTAGGTTGGTATTGGAAAAGTAACTAGATCAGACATTGGAGCAGACTTCACAGGGGGAGCATGGAGAGCAACTTTCGCTGTAGAACTCTCATTATTATACTATTATGATTAAATATTTGTTAGTTCCTTCACAGAGAAGTACAATTGGAATACATACGTTGCGTATAACAACGTTACGTTACGTTGGTTTACAATTAAATTCTCCAGGGATTTTCACGAACTCATTGTGATGTTATTTCTGGAAATTAGATGTTTACCTTTACGTTGAAAACTTGGGTTGTCATTATTTGGAGTTCCCAGTGTCTTGACTGCATCCCTTCGAAACATAGTTGGGATTGAGGAGAACTTTTTTGCAAAAAGTGGATTTATAAGCAAAGCAAAGCCAAATAATCACGGAAAGAAAGTTTTGTTGTGTATTGGTGGGAACAACAAGTCGTCCTTTATTCATTATCAACAACAATTAATGAAATTAAATCATAAATCATCAAAAGATCAGTCTCAGAAACAAAGTAACAAGGATTTTTGGCCCGAAGTGGCGATTGGCAGGACACGTCGCAAGGAATGTTGTAAAATACAATAATATGGTCCTTGGCCGTGTATGTAATACAACATGGTCAAAAACTGGGTTACCGTTTATGCATATTTAATTATCTTCTGCAGTTTTGATGATATTTAAAAATTTACTAAAATTTTGAACAAAATATGAGAAAGTACTATTTTCAATTATTTCAATATTGTTCTATGGGAATTAAGAACTCATCTGAATCAATCATTGCTAGTAATGAACACTTTTCTAATGAGCTGTTATATCTAAAAAACGCAAAACGAATGCTAACACAAATTTGGAAAACTTTATTGTTCGAACGCATATTGATAAAAAACAAGAAGTAGATAAACAAATTGTATGAGCTGTGTTTGGAACAAAGAGCAGCTTTGGATGTATGGATAAAACGCAAGTGAAGAAGGTAATTGAATTGTTACGACCTGGTTATAATCCCCCTCCTGGCAAAACTATTTCTACGACACTTTTGGAACAAATTTATGAAGAAAAGAAAACTAAATGTTGTGGAAGTCTTACAGGGTGTGGCGTAAACCTATCTATTGATGGTTGGTCTAATATACGCAATGGGCCAATAACATGCGCAGTATAACCACTGAAACTGGACACTCCTTTTTTATATGAAACTATAGATACATGAGAAAATCTATATACAAGTGGCTATTTAACTGATATTGCTTGCAATATAATTTCCTCGTATAAATCAAAATACAACTATAACGTGACATCATTTGTAACGGTTAATGCTGCTAATGTCGCACTAATGAGAAGAACCATACAAGAGATATTGGACCCCAGCGTTTCAGTGATAACTTATGGGTGTTCAGCTCACCTTCTAAACTTACTTTGCAAAGATTTAGAAGTAACACATATCAAAGAGACAGCTTGATGGAAAAGCATTAGTGCTGCCAAGTGATGTGAGGTGGAATAGTATGGCATATTATTTGGAAGTATATGTAAGCCAATGGGAGAAACTATTAAAGGTGTGTGACGAGAATAAAAAGGAAATAGAAAAGTTTCAAACATTGGTCTCAAACGCTCAGCTGAAGATTATTAATATCTTAAAATTTATAACTGTAGCACTTGACAAATGACAAAAAAGAACGCTTTCTTATCTGACGCAGTGGAAGTTTGGAAAGAATTAAATACATTACTCGAAGAAAAATTATCATCAGTACATATGAAAGTTTTTGATAAATGGTATAAGCAGGCACTTACGTCTAACCATTACATAGCCTATATTTTAGATGTTACTAAAACTACGTATAAGTTAACATCCATAGAAAAAGAGGAGGCTTTAAATACAATAAAGACCAATTAAAGGCCAACCGGTTTACTACCGCTAATTATAAAACTATTAGCCAAAATGGAACCATTTTCATCAGTAATGTTTTCAGAGGAAGTCTTAAGTAATTGCAAGTAGTACTTTACAATGGTGGATGTCACAAAAACACATTGCTGCAGTAGAGAAGGTACTGCCAATAAGAAAGCAATTTTTATGTGCACTTTGTTCACATCATCAGCTTCTGTTTACTACTTTATAAAACAAGTTAGCTGTGGAAAAGGCAACAAAACTTGTTTTGAAAAAAATGTTTTGTTAATTTTGTAATAACGTACAGTTTTATTTTCAGTTTTGTTTTTGATTTAAATCATTGATTAAAAATCAAACCCTGTTGGATCGCTTCCAAAGATCAAAAATTTTTCTTTGTATAATTTATAAACTCTTTAAAAATGTTGTTATTAATAATATTGCTTTACTATAAAAATTATTTTTATAAAAAATCACCGATTTGAAAAACTTACGTGTTATTGTCTTGAACAGGATGAATTCTTCTATAAATCCACTTATTAAACCATCGATTTGGATTCATTTTCACTTTTAATTGATTCTCAATTATCCCATTGAATGGTATAAAATTCCTAAATTTCCTAAAATTTCTCACATCAATTTGCAACCCCCAAAAACAACCTTTCTAATTACTTTTGTGGCGGTTTCCTAGCCGGGATACCTTCAAAATTTTTGATCCTCCTCACACACTTTCTCCTCTCAAAGTTCTTCACGCTCGCCTTCCGTCTCAACTTCTTGCAACTGTTACACTGATCGCGCATTGTATTTAACCGGGAATTTCTCTCGTAAGCGTTCAATGATAACGATAACAATTTTATACACAAGTATTGAGTCATTTAGGGATTTTTTTTGTTAAAAATATCCCTTAAATAATTTAACCAAACATTGCGGTTTAGATATTAGTATTTGGAGATTTTTTTGTTCGTTTGGTATGGTTGATCGTTGTTTACTGAAAAAACGTAACCGAAAGGAAGGGTCATTGACAACGCGCGCGATACACTTGACGAGCTCGACTTCCGTTTGGTAAATGCACGGATTTCCACAATTTGTTGAACGGTTGGCTGACTATGGATGACACACACCTTAATAGAAGCGTGCCATTATTGTAATTATTTCGAAACAACCACCTTGTATTATTTTTATTAGGTAGCATTAAATAAAGAAATTTTATAATTAAAAAAATAAAATCATAGTCGGTTAATTTCAGAGAAAAACCTTCAAAAATGCAATTTAAATATTTCTTGCAAGTTCTAATTTTAATACTAAGATTAATTCGGGTTAATCCCGAATTTGAATGCAAACCAAATGTGGTGTTTGATAAATGGTGCGTAAAATACATTTTTTTGAGTCGATAGTTAATTATTTTTTTTGTAGTAAATCGATTTCTGGGTCATCGAATCCTTATTGGAACTCGGATAAGCATTCGCCTTTGATTTTTCGGCTACAAATAAGAAAATCTTGTGTTAATTCTGTGTTAGATATCCAATGGAGCTTACAGAATATAAGTAAATTTTATTTTTTTCTTCAAAGCTTAATAAAATGAGAAATTAACATTATTTTAGAGACGAAACAATTTCTTCATCAACCTAAATTGGATAATAAAAATGAAATTATTTTGGATAAATCAAATTTAACTGTTTTGGAGCCTTATATTCTTAAAGCTTTTGTTAAAGAATCCGCTTATGGGTTTTATTCAACATCTGTAGTTGTTACAGTAAGTTTTTTTATAATAGTTTTATATTAATATATTATTATACCTACAGGTGGTCTATTTAACGTGAGATAATCGCTTGTTTATCTCGAAAACGCTTCATTTTACATAAAAATGAACCAAATTAAAACTGTTCTGTGCGAAGGGGGAAAGCATATGACGATAACATTTTTTGACTTTGACCTTGTTTTCAAGGTTATATGAAGGTCACGATTATTTCCGTGGACGGAGGTAATCGCGCGAAGGTATTCTTCTGTTGTCAAATCGTTAAGCATAAATACTGAAAGTAATTCGTCATTTGCTTCGGTACTAACAAAAGGCGTAAAAAACAATTTCCCTGATAGAGAACAAGCAATAATTTTTGATGTGATGCAATTTTATTTGTGCGGGTGTTAACAACCCAGAATATAAACACGTCCTTAGTTTTAGACGTCAGGTTTATATTATTTTGGAGGAGTCGGATCTTTTTCCTGACTATACTCCTATTGAATATAAACAAAATCATTTTAGAATCTTTTTATCAACTGATGAACCAAGATGTTTTGCTTGCAAAAGTTTAGGGCACGTGGCTAGGAAGTGTCCTGTTAACAAAGGAAACAAATCTTCGGCAAGTACAATAATTGCCGATATTCAGGTCCACGCTGGTGACAATAGTGCTAAACATCCGGAAAGGACACCATTCAGTACAGAATCAGAGGAGAGTATATTACAACTAAAATACGACAGGTAGAATCATTGAGACACTCAAATAATAAAGAAGTGAATCACCCCCAGAGGACAAGCAGTCGACTAAAATGACTGAAACTCCAAAACCTTTGTCAGAACCTACACAGTCGTTGAAACGTCAAATTTCCTCTACTTCTGGACCTGAATCATTAATCAGTGACAGTAATGTAGATGTAGGCCCTCATAGCGCAGATACAAAAGTTGTGGATGACAGAAAATTCAAAAAACCCAGTACCAAAAAAACTAAGACGGAAGTAAGCACGGATGTTTCACATCTGTATACAGAGTTACAACCAATTTTTTAAAAATATCTGGACCTCTATATTCTGGAAGAGAAGTTGGCAAACCTTGGATTACCTCGGAATGTTGCAAATAAGGTAGTCAAGTTATACAAAAATCGACTTGTGTATATGAGATCCGGTTCAGAGATAGGGCTTAGAACCTATATTTGAGAGATTTGCACGACCAGGTGAAGTCCCCATCAAAAATAATTCGATATGTAGATGACATTTGCATTCTTACGAATGAGATATCCTTAATGGCTCTGCAAGATCGTCTCGCGCAAATTGTTAGGAACCTTAACAACTAGTTATTTGCAAGCAATTTAGAAACTTTATTTCATCTTTTATAACACTTTCTAAATTATTTATGCATTCATCAATATTTCCAACTAAATGAGTCGACCAGTTAATGTTCTTTAATCTGTTCTGCAAAGTATTATAATTTAAAAATGATTTAGTTGTATCTGTCTGATACGCGACCCTCTTGGTAGGACTCCTCACCTGTGCATCTTTAAAACATAGCTGTATAAAAATCGGATAGTGATCGGTTATTTTTTGATGGAGGACTAGTGGCAGAATGTTATCGTCAGCAAGGTTAGATTTAAGAAACATATGGTCTATACAGGTACTTGAATTAAGCTCTACACGAGTTGGCCTATTTATATAAGATTTGAAACCGTTTTGCGCTAGAAGATTAGAGTAAGTAACGACGACATCAGAAGCAGAGTTGAGAAGGTTAAAATTCAAATCGCCCACGATCAATTCTAGGGATTTAACACAACAACCACTCAAGTAATCCTCAAAACTTTTTAAAAACTCATAACAGTCTAATGACGGTGGTCTATAGAAACAACTTATTGAAGCTTTTATAGTACCATATAAAATAATGTTCAATCTCATAATTATTAAATTGTCAACTGAGTGTAAATCAACCTCACACTTTAAGTTACATTTAATGTAAGCAATAACCCCATCGTTTTGATTAAATCTACTATTTGAGTAATAAAGGTTGTAATTTGGAAGATAGTAGTGGAAGATAGTAGTAGCCTGTGCACTCCACACTCCAAGTCTCAGTAAGAACTATGCAATCAAAGACGCCGTCATATTGCGAGAGAAGTACTAACAGTTCATCAAAATTTTTATTTAAACTGCGTATATTAATGTGCAAGACATTTAATTTAATTTGCAATTGAGAAAACTTAGAGACTGCATCGTAAAAACTCTCTGCACAATCGACAACGCCTGTACCTACAATTTGATTGTCTAAATATTCGTACAGTTCAAAACTCATTATTAACAATCTAAAGATCTAATTAATTAACAAACGATACTAAAGTGCTGGATAACTTGAACTTTCCCGTGAGAACAAATCAAAAATATTTGGGCATGATCGTAGACAATAAGCTTAGGTGGACAGGGCATATCAACTTCTTGGTTCGCAAGTGCGAAACTTATTTGAATATTATGAGGTGTATTGGTAGAGTGTCTTGGGGAGCGGATGTATTGGTTCTGAAACGTTTATATGAAGCTTGCATAAGGTCGCAATTGGATTATGGTTGTGTCCTTTATGGCAATGCTAGTGCAAATGTAATTAAAAGACTCGAGATTATTCAAAACAAAGCTTAGAGGTTGTGTGTGGGAGCGATGTCGTCTACACCAGTGGAAGCTTTGCGTGTTGAAGCGCGGGAACCACCTTTACAATTGCGACAAAGATTCATGATGTCCAAGTTTATTTTAAGACTTAAGAGGACTAACAATTGCCTATTGTGGGTATATGTCCACAATATAATAAGATACAAGTGTATTTTAATAAATTAATAATATTTTAATAAATAATAAAATAAACCGTACACATTTGTGTATATTAATTTGAATGACTTGAATATAATAATAATTGATTTTGTTTAGCAACACGATCTTGATTTTTTACATGTCGTGTGCACAGCATGCACTACACTTGTTAAAAAACGTCAGAAATTTGTGGGTTTTAAATAAAATCTATGGTACAGGATATAAACGCTTCTCGCCGCTGTGCACGGGATATGAGTACATGCGAATGTACCTATCAGATATTACACTGGTTGTAACACCAAACAACTTCTCCATAGCGGAACAACCTGTATCAGTACGATTCCCAAGATATACAGGACACTGCGAAGTGGACAAACACATTTTCCTGGAAACCAAACAGTCACTCTCTGACGTTCACCTTATATACACAGATGGCTCAAAGACAAAAGATGGTTGTGGGTGCGCATACTGGGACGACCTACTCAAAATAAGTAAAAAGAATAGGTTGAAAAAATTTTATTCTGTATTTTCAGCAGAAGCGGTAGCAATTTTGCAAGCATTGGAATACGTAGAACAAAACCAAATTGGGAACGTGTACATCATGAGTAACTCTAAGAGTGTGTTAGAAGCCCTATCACGGTATAAACATTATTCCGTGCAGAAAGTTTTGGAAACCGTTGATCGGTTAAAGTGACAAAACTATAGGATTCAATTTTGTTGGATGAGTTGGATTAAAGGTCATGTAAACCTAAAGCCGAACGAAAGAGTGGATAGTCTAGCGAAGGATGCGTTAGTAAGTGGTATAGGCAGAATATATGTGGAGAATCTAATTACCATGGTGAGACAAGAGATTTTAGAAGCTGAGTGGGACAAATACTGGGTCACCTGTTGGAGGATTAGGATGACCCAATATGCACGAATCCACTCGCATATATTTGAAAATTTTTGGTTCAAGAATGGACGAGTGACCAGATTTCTATACACCTCTATTGCGAGGGTGAAATTTGGCCATGGTAAATTCCCTAGCTATCTTTATAAACTGGGTATTGCAGACTCTCCTGGATGTTCATGTGGTAATTAGGCAAGGTTTATATATAAGAGGTTGTCTAGATTCGTACGCAACCATACTGCGCATTACGTCACATGTGGAAAATAATACCGCCAAGCAATTCAAATTAAACAAATGCACGGAGCACCACATGGCCATGAGGTTGNACATACATAGTTTTGGCTGCTATTTGGTCTGCAGAGCCGCTTGCTTGTAGAACGGCGTCCCGGTTTGCAGTTATAACGGCAGAGAGAGTAGGCACATTCATTTTTGCAGCGTTCCATTTTATACAATTCCCCATATTTTTTATTACCGTTGATCGATGATCGCCAACAACGAAGCTAATGTACTGGTGATCGCTACCTGTGTAATTTTCGAGCACTCTCCACTCATGGACGCGGCCCGCCAGGGTTTCCGATGCGAAGGTGAGATCCGGAATCGTCTGAGTATAGAAGAGAGTAAAGAAAACTTTAGTAGAAGGGTTAATAAATGTATTGAAGTGGGTGGAGAAATATTTGAACATTTATTATAAATTTTATACTTGTTGTTGATTAATAGTATAGTNCGTCACGAAACACTCCTGCTCTTGCCCCTCGCCCACAAACTAAATCAAAGTACTGCAGCATAGGTACTTAGACAACCTTTAATATATAAACCTTGGTAATGAGGTAGGTGACATCAACCTCATGTTATTTAACTGCAATAGATACCATAGCCAAAGAGAGAGTTTTTGCAAAATCTTCTGGATAGTGGCGTGCGATTACCGACATGCAATATTGAGTTGCTAAGTTTAAATAGAAAAGATATTTATTATACAGGGTGTTTTGGTGACTCGGGGAATAAATTTAACCACATATTATACTAGAGTGAAAAGGATGACGATTCATGTAACAAAAAATAGTAAAAGTCTTCAAATTTCAAAGATACAGGCCATCAACGTTAGGATATTTTAACACTTTTTTCCAAATATCTTAAACACTATTTACAGTAAAGCACTGAAATTTGGTACAGTATAAATCAATGTCGTGTAAAATTGTTAGGCAATTTATGAGTTGGATCGGTCCGCGGCAACAATGCTTACCGGCTGTTCCTAAAGTTTGTTTGCTCAGAACTTTTTTATTCTTTCATAACCCTACATTTATTTTTGCAGTTTCTAGTAGTAAATTTAGTTTAGAAACTTTTATTACTCTTAGATAATATTCATAAAAATCACCGTTTTCGTGTTAAATCCAAAAATGTTGGGTGTATGTGGTATTATCGGGCGATTCCTCGCAAGCACTGGAATTAGATTCTAATCCTGTTCCTCTTTGGCAAATACAATCCATTGAACATTAGACTACATTGAGTTAAGAATTTGTTGAATTTATTCGGTGGCTAATGGGCACAGGGATCGAAAAGCTTAATAATAATAAAAAAAATGCATACAGAAATAGTAGCCAAGAAAACCTTTTAAGATGTAAAGAAATAATAATAATAATAACTTTATTAGTGCTCTATGCCCAAGGCTTACACACTTCATTTTAAACAGAATATACAACAAAATACAGACGCAGGAGCCGAGAAGAAAATACAATAAAAATACATCCATACAATGACAATATTACTCCTTAATATTCAAGGATTCAAAGGCGAGGCGACAATCTTCCCTATAACTAAGTTTTGCCAACACTCTCACAGCTCTGCGTTGCAAACCAAACACATAATTACTTGCTGGACTCCCACCCCAGGCAATAATACCATAGTCAATCATTGAGTGTATCAGCGCATAATACGCTGTTTTGGCCACCTCGACAGATACCGAGCTCACTAGTCTACGTAGTAGAAAAATGTTTCTTGAGACCTTTTTACCAATTTCAGCCATATGCACATCAAATTTCAGATCTCTGGAGCTCACTGTTATGCCCAGCAAGTGTCTGAACCGTTCTGTCTTTATTCAAACATAGTTCATTAGCTACACACCAACGACTGGTGTCAGCAGTCAACAATTTGTTTGAGGAAGACATTACCTCCTCGTAGGTTAACCCGGAGACAAGCAATGTGGCATCATCAGCGTACAACAAACACTTTACACCCTCTCCCAGGTAACCAGGAAAATCATTAAAGTACATGAGGAACAAAAGGGGCCCCAAAATAGATCCCTGAGGGACACCCCTCGAGATTGGAAGTTTTCCAGATACTTTGTCTCCACATTTAACCACTTGAAACCTATCGGACAGGTATGATTCGATAAGAGCAACACTATTTAAATCAAAGCGAAAAACCGACTTCAGCTTCAGGAGAAGAATACGGTGCGACACACTATCAAAAGCACGAGACAAATCAAGAANGCCCATTAAAAAAATTGGTCGTGACCTTCATATGACCTTGAAAATAAGGTCAAGGTCAAAAAATGTTATCGTCATATGGTTTCCCCCTTCGCACAGAATAACTTTAATTTGGTTCATTTTTATGTAAAATGAACCGTTTTCGAGATAATCGCTTGTCTCACTTTAAATAGACCATCTGTATATTATTATATTATATAATTTTAGTGTTGGTTTCGCTTAGTTAATCGTTACATACGAATTGAAAAGAAAGCTCCTCGATTATCTTTTAGATCATCATCCAACGACGAATTAAAGTAATCAAAAACTCAAAATTTTTTAAAAACCTAACCGATCCTAAACATTTTATAGAATAGAAACAAATACTCCAGAAAGCGGGTGGGTTCAATGTTCAAATCCAAACATGTTCGTAATGGTTAGTTCCGAGAAAAAGTTAGAACAAAACTTTTATTTTGGGGAATCACCAATAATAGGTAAATAATTAAAGCGATTAAATTTGTATAACATTTTTTTTTTATAGAACAACTAATAAATAAATCAAGCCGGATATCGAAAAGACAAAATTTAAAACTACCTGATGATTCCTCATTAACAAGAAAATTATACGAACTAAAAGGGCGGCAAATAGATTTAATAACCGATCTAAAATACAACAAAAAATATCGATTTCTTTTATGTAAGAAACGAATTTCAAGCAAATGTACCAACGTCCAAGAAATTACAACATGTCCAAACTTAGCCTTAACATTAAATTGCTCATCCGATGTTGGAAACAAAACTCTTTTTGAAAATTACGTCGATGTTATAGGAATAAATTGTACATTAATCGGAAATGCAATCACCGATTCGATAGCTTTTGGACTTTACAGTATAAACGGAGGCGCTCCAAATGGAAAAGGGCCTAAAGATATTTTAATAGGACATTACACCGATTATAAATCAATTTATTTCCGGTTATTTCACAAATCTGAACATACCGTTGTGTTAAAACCTATTGATTCAAAAACGCATGTTAGATTTCCATGTAAATTATCTAGATGTAATTCTATGTCATCGTTTAGAGTAAGTTTAATTTATAAATTAGTTTATATTTTATTTATAAATCCTTTTAGGTTATTTCTACCATAACAGATTCTTTAGATTTATCAATGCAAGCTCAAATAGCTTTATTACGCGAAGCACAAAAAGGAAAAATACCTTGTCCGTTATGCAACTCGAAATTATCATTAACGGATCTTTCATTTTCTTCGATGATTTCTTCTGGAAAATTCAACGACGCTGTTCAATTCGCTTTGATTTTATTGAAAGACCAAGAAATGTTGGTGATGAAAGATATTGAAGCAAACGAGTTCCAAATTTCTATGCTAAGCGAATTTGCTAAAATTGTTATAAGAAAAAATTTTATATCGTTACTTTAATTTAATTAAAAATTAATTTTTAGACTGATTGGACTTGGCCTAGATTGGAACAAATGGTCGGGTTATTACCGTATTTCGATTTAGAGGATATTCCAAAAGAAATAGCTCACACAAAAGCGAAAGCTTTGTTATTAAAAAATATGATGAACGGTTTAAAAACGTTGATAACGAGCGAGCAATTTCATATGACACCAAGAATTGACATGGAAGAGATTTACTTTGAGTAAATAGATGCGAAATAACTACTTTTTTTCCTTCAAACGTCATTAAGTGACAACTTTATTGTGGTGTTGACAATTTTTGAATTTTTGATACAATAGAAAACTATTTTACCGACCTTAAAATTCAAAAATCATCATGTGGCTTAAAAATCGACGATTTTTTTTAATCATTGTGAAATGACCCAAAAAACACGTTAAAAATAGAAGGAAAGTGCGGAAAAGTGTAGAACTTACCGAAAAATCACATTAACGTTTCGATGTGACGTCACAAGTAATGTTAACCATGCATTTTCCTATTAAACCGGTCAACACCTAACCTACAAATTGTTTATTTTATAACTACGCACAAAATCAATCTGATAAACTTAAAAATGAATTTATTTTCACTAAACTAGATGAGATTACAATGTATATTTATGGATGAAACACCCTTGTTTCAGTTCCAGGGATCTTTGAAAGGAGAACTTGGGACTGATTGTATGTCGAAATCCCCCCGTAAGATGGCATTAGGTCTATACTGAAATAATTTAATTAAACTAACAATTTTATTACTAATAGTGGGAATGATGAGAGACAGCAATAACAATTATTGCCAGTATCATTCTTTTCATTTAAAAAGTATAGATTCCAATTCGTTTTATATTTTTAAATTTGCCGCTAACTTCAACTTTTTAAAGTTGAAGCTTGTTCAGAATGACAGATGAAAACGTCATTTTAAAGTGATTTTTCGGTAAGAGTATAATAAAGTAATAATGGTAGGATTAAATAATTAGATTATAATTGACATTATAGCATTGTTTCAACTAACGTTATAACTGGTTTGAAGCTCGTCAGATGCAATCTCACATGTCATATGATGTAGTGATATTCAAATGTGCCGGAATTATTTGACAGGTGTAATTGCCATAGGTAATTGCATCTGAGGAATTCCCAACCAGTCGGAACGTTAATTGGTTGGAATTTTTATATATAAACCCAATCCATCTGTATTCTAGTGGTTCGGTTCTTAGCTGAATAATTCCAAAATATCCCCAACAGATGGCGCCACATGAGTTCAATTTTTAGTACGAAGTGTTTGTTTAGAGAGTTGTATTTCTACGAAGCTATTTTTTATGCCCTTATTTCTCTTAGGCTTTCGATACATAACGACTGACTATTTGTCATTGGATTGACTGTGTGTCAATAGACTCTGTGTTAATACTAGAACTAACACTCGACCGAAAACTAGAATCATACGGATTTAGCCTCACGTCTCTCAAGATGGCTAAACCCAAATGATTCTAGTTCTAGGTCTTGTGTTAGTTCTAGTTATAGTGCAATACTAGAACTAACACTAGACCGAGAACTAGAAACATTCTGGTTTAGCCGCACGTCTCTCAAGACGGCTAAACCCGAATGATTCTAGTTCTAGGTCTTGTGTTAGTTCCAGTGCAAAACTAGAACTAACACTAGACCGAAAACCAGAAACATTCGGATTTAGCCCCACGTCTCTCAAGACGGCTAAATCCGAATGATTCTAGTTCTAGGTCTTGTATTAGTTCTAGTGATAGTATTAGTGTACAACTAGAACTAACACTAGACCTAGAACTAGAAAATTTTTCTATTTTTGATTCTATTATCATCGTGAATTTATTACATAAAGGGATGGAAAACGATAAAAAGTAATTTTCGTCAATCACCCATCCTATCTCGCGTATCCTCCGTAAGTATGATATTACTCCCACCTTTACATCAAAAAACAACATATTCAGACAATTATATAACAACAAACACAAATTCAAAAATGAAGAACTTAGTGGCATTTATAGGATTGACTATTCGTATGTGAAAAAACTTATATCTGTCAGACAGGAAGAAACATCTCTGTAAGGAGCACTTATCAAACCAAACTTCAGCAGTCCACAAGCATGTCAACGATTTCAAACATACTATCAAATTCGAGAACTGTAAACTTATCAAAAACTTGAAAAAGTCCAACCTAATGGACCTCTACGAGGAGTTTTACATCAGATCTTTTAACATCGGCGACAACCTCATTAATGAAACTTTAGATCATGACATCCAGTGTTGCCGCACCGAAGAAAATAAATGTACCAAAATTCGTACTGAAAATGAACAAAATGTACTGAATTCTGAGAGGAAATATTGGAGACCTTTTTTTTAAGTCATAAGTTTGAACAAAACTTGTAAAATGTATTACTTTATCACTTTTGAACGGTATTTACTACATTCCCTAACAATATCCTGATTTCAGTACAATTGTACCGATTAACAATTTTGGTACTGAATTGCAACTTTCACGTACTTTATCCCTGAAATCGTACTGAATTCAGTACAACTGTACCGAAACGGCAACACTGATGACATCCCTAGATTCTTTACCAAATTTGTTTAACTTTACGTTTTCAAATTTGTCTCACAATTTCGTTTTCCTCTCTCCCTTCCCCACCCCAACCGTACGCATTACGATGTAATAACACCCGCACAACCAGTCGGAGAAAGAAACCTCTGTCACAGTTTAGTTGATTTATGTGGTCCGCTGTGATGTCGATCGTTGCTATCGTCTTTGTATTTCGTTCGCCATTTGTTATCTCATAACTTGACGTTAATTCTTTAATTTTTTAAATTTTGTTTGATTTTATATTTGTATTTTAATTTCTATCTCCGTTTTTGTGCTTTTCAGTTGTGCCTGAAGAAAAGGAAAGTTTTCCTCGAAACACTGTATATATAATAATATATACTAATACTAATATACCATACTAATATATACTATAATATATAATATAGTCTTTTGAAAGCATTAAATAGTCTTTGCCAACAATATCTAGCATTCTCCAAACAATTATAGTAGCCTTTCTAACAATATTTAGCATTCTGAAAGTAGTTAATAGTCTTTTGGAAACAGTATCTTGTTTTTCCAAGCAGATAATAGTTTCTCCCAGCAGTATTTAGTCTTCTCCAAGCAGGTTGTAATCTTTTCTAGTAGTATATAGCGCTCTGGAAGCAGTAAGTAGTCTTATAGAAGCAGTATCTCGTCTTTCCAACCAGTTTGTAGTTGTTTGCTAGGACTATCTAGTCTTCTCCAAGCAGATTGTAATCTTGTCCACCAGTATCTAGCATTTTGGAAGCAGTAGGTACCTTTTTTGGAGAGCATATCCCTTCTTTTCAAGTAGTTATTAGTCTTTTCTAGTAGTATTTAGCATTCTGGCAGCATTAGGTAGTTTTTTGGGAAGCATATCTCTTCTTTCCAAGCAGTTGTTAGTCTTTTCCAGTAGTATCTAACATTCTGGAAGCAGTAGATAGCTTTTTGGAAAACATATCTCTTTTCCAAACAATTATTAAAGTCTAAGAAACCACCGTATTTCACCCGAAAATATGCGTTTTAACCAAATGTGCTGCGGAAATATATCCTAGCACGGTTGATGACGTCACGTGGAAACTTTAAAGTGATTTTTCGGTAAGTTTTACACTTTTCCGCACTTTTTTTCTTTGTAACGGTTTACTTGAATGATTTCCCGTCGTTTAAAAAAAATTGTCGTATTTTAAGCGACATGATGATTCTTGAATTATACCAAAAAATGATATATTTTATACGATACTCTATTTGTTAATTCGGAGATGTTATACCAAAATGATATATTTTATACTATACTCTATTTGTTAATTCGGAGATGTTGCCGGCCGCCTAGAAACATTCGAATTTAGCCGCATGTCTCCCAAGACGGTTAAACCCGAATGATTCTAGTTCTAGGTCTTGTGTTAGTTCTAGTGATAGTGCTAGTGTAAAACTAGAACTAACACTAGACCTAGAACTAGAAACATTCGGGTTTAGCCGCACGTCTCTCAAGACGGCTAAATCCGAATGATTCTAGTTCTAGGTTTTGTGTTAATTCTAGTGACAGTGCTAGTGTTTATTCAGGTTTCTAAAAGCTTTGAAAATAGCTTTGAAAAATTACACTGTGTAAACATAACTTTTCATTTTATTCCTCCGAATTAAAAAATAGAGTATACTAGACTATATAAAATGCTCTCACTTCATTCACAAAGTAACGTAGTGAGACTATAATTAGACTATAATTACTATAATTAAATTGATTAATTTATTTTTTCTTTTTAGTGAATTTTATAAACAAATTAGTGCCTTGTTTGGCCCAGACTTTATAAAACCGTACAGTTTTGATGAAGCTAAAGTACACAGTCCTCCTTTTCATGGTGGAAAAGAAGAGGATTACGAAGATTATGATGAAAATATGGATGATATTATAATTGATGATGTAATTTTTTTAATTGTTGCAAATTTTAATTAATTTAATTTTTACTTTTTCTTTTTCCTCTGATCCTTATGCATGATGTCGTCGGATTAATTCTTCAACTTTTCCGGCTTCTTCTTTCCGGATCTAGGTCTTCCCCTTTTTTTCTTATCCTTATTCTTTGCTTCAAATACCTTTTTTACTATTGTGTTATATTCTATTCTAATTATGTGAGAGTACCAGTTTAGTTGCTTTCTCTCTATTTTGCTTATTATCTCCTCTTGTCTTATTTCCTCATTCCTTATCCTATCCCACTTTGTCTTCCCCACTATTTTCCATTGCTGTGATCTTTCCTTCTTGTTTATCTTGGAGTCTCCGTGATTCACTGGCATATGTTAATATTGGGACTGTCACCTAGTTGTAGACTTTCAATTTTATCTTTTTATCTATCTCCTTCCCAAAAATTGTTCTGTTTAGAGTATGATATATGTTGTTTGTTTTCCTTATTCTTGCATTTATGTCTAAATCTATCTTTCCATCTTGTGATATTACACTGCCAAACAGTGTCGTATCCAGAAAGTCTAAGTATAAATATCTATATATTTTCTTCTTTTCTTTTGAAGTGTATCCAACACTTTTTCGTGCGTAATTGTTATTGAAAGATGATAACTATCTTCTGCATACAATAGCGTCACTCCATTTAATCTTATAGTATTTCTTAAATATATTTTCAACAATTTTAGAGATGAAAATGTTCTCTCTGGAGTAGCTGTGCTTACTGGCAAGGTGCACAAAATTTTCAACAACGTATAAATATGAGGAGAGAATCGAATCACATATTGATAATGCAGTTAAAGGAGAATTGGGAAATTCTTTTGGTAAACTATTGTAAAATCTTCTGTACCAAAGTTTAAATTCACCAGCAGCAACAGGTTTTGAGACGTCATATTTATAAAATTCTAAATTTTCATTTTTTTCTAGTGATGGAACTAAACATCTAAAATCTTTGTGTGCAATAAATCTGTCATCTAATTGCATTATGACATTGTCTAAGAATGGAATGAAAACTGTCTAGTGTCTGTTTCAAAATTCGCTTTGTTTCTTTCTCTAAGTACAAGTCTTACTCTTTTCAATAATTCTCCAAATATATACCACATCAACTGATTTCCTCCCAGAATGATATTGTTAAAAGATGTGTCAACATTGTTTAGCAGATTTTTTAGTTCTTCTCTGCAAGGGAAACTACTTGAAACAAGTCGGTATTTATGATTTGAAGTAATTTTGACAAGGGTAGTGTGTGTGCAAAAACAGCTCCCATAACTAAAAGAGACAACATAAATTCGGAAGAACTTAAAGAATTTTTCAACAATGTTACCCTAGATGACGATTCATGATATTTCCAAATTGATATGTCTTCTAGAGCAGAAACTTCCTGCCTTAGTTTATGGCTGTTTATTTTCGTGTTGGTTTTCATCTCTTCTCTTTCGATTTCTATATTATTAATAGTTACCATGACTAGTCTGTGGTTGGTTCCCATTTCTTCTGCTTCAGTATTTACTTCCTCAACTCTGTTTTGGAGATTCCTATGTGATATAATCAATAATACATTATTTTTTTTTTTTAGTTTATAATGATAACCAACGATGGTTTAGAAGCGTTATCAAATTTATTATTTGCACGATCAAAAACACATCATTACAAAGAGGAACATTTAGTATTCACCGAATCAAGCTTAACGAGTAAAATATTTACTGAAAAAGAAAATATCGATTACATAATCACGGATATTAATGAGATTTTTTACGTTGAATTGGGATATCCGGTTGCGATGCCACCAACTGAGAAGGAGTTTCGATTTATTGTTAGATTAATTTGTATTTTATTCAAAAAATTAATAATTGAATTTGTAGTGGTCGTTAATTGATAAAGAAGCGTTTTTTTGGCACCACGAAAGTTATAAATGTACTATACAATATTTAATGATCCAATTTTACTCGGGAGATGAAGAAGTTACTAAAAATTTTAACACTAACCCTGTGATTGAAATAAATTTGCCGAGTCAAAGTGTTAACGTTCAAGCGGATGGAATCGTTGTACCAAGTCATCCAGACGATTGGACTGACCACATCATCAATAGATTTATGAGAGTTTATAGGATTAATGTTAAGAAATATTTAGGATATACTTTAGGAGTTTACATACAAAATATTACACGTGTTGAACGATTAAGAGTAGGTTGAGATGAACCAAAATTATTTTTATTTATTAATTTATTTTTTCTTAAAAGGTTATTGTTGATACAAATGGTACAAAACCCGTTTTTGAAGATTTTGCAAATCCTAAAACAGAAATATTGATTTTTGATAAAACAAATTCTTCCAAATTTGTTGCTTTTAGTAGTAACACCTCGACAGTGGAATTTTGGTACATTGCTGTTTTACCGTATAAAGAAGATATTGCGGTAAAGAATTAAATTAAATAATTAAACAAATTTAATAAAATATTTTTTTTTAAATAGGCTAAAAGAAAGCTTCGATCTTTAAAAGGAGAAGACGATGATGATGAGGAAGACATTGAAAATGAGCGTGAACGAATTGAAACTGTTGGGATTCAATATTTAAATAGTTTCATGATGTACTCATGTCCTATGTTTGTTAATGGGGAATTTAAGCACGATATTTGCACGGTAAATTAAATTAACCTTTTATTATACATTTTATAACGAATTATCGATGAAAATTGCAACATCGAAAATTTTATCACAACTTCAAATATTGTTTTCTCAAAAACTAAAAGTTATTTTTCAAAACGTGTTGGATCATTGGAAAGAGGACACTTTTATTAACACTTTGGGAAATTTTCATATTCATATTCCAAGAAATGGATTTTATACGAATTTTTAAAACTTAAACGGCGAAAATTGCAAAGCTCGAAAAAATTGTCGTTTACTTCAAAAATTTAGTTCTCAAAAACTAAAAGCGATTTTTCAAAACGGCTTGTTGCATTAAAAAGAGGATACTTTAATTAATAATTGGTGATATTTCCACAACGATCCTTCAAGAAATGAATTTTATACCGAATTTTGAACATTATCGATCAAAATTGCAACATCGAAAATTTTATCAAAAATTCAAATATTGTTTTCTCAAAAACTAAAAGTTATTTTTCAAAACGTGTTGGATCATTGGAAAGAAGACACTTTTATTGACACTTTGGGAAATTTTCATACTCATATTCTAAGAACTGGATTTTATACGAATTATTAAAGCTTAATCGTCGAAAATTGCAAAATTCGAAAAAATTCTCGATCATTTCAAAAATGTATTTCTCAAAAACTAAAAGCGATTTTTCAAAACGGCTTGTTGCATTAAAAAGAGGATATTTTAATTAATAATTTGTTATATTTCTACAAGAATCCTTCAAGAAATGAATTTTATAGCGAATTTTGAAAATTATCGATGTAAAATTACAACATCGAAAATTTTATCGAAACTACAAATATTATTTTCTCAAAAACTAAAAGTTATTTTTCAAAACGGGTTTTATCATTGGAAAGAGGACACCTTTAATAACATTTTGGGAAATTTTCATACTCATATTCCAAGAAATCGATTTTATACGAATTTTTAAAACTTAATCGGCGAAAATTGCAAAATTCGAAAAAATTGTCGATTACTTCAAAAATTTTTTTCTTAAAAACTAAAAGCGATTTTTCAAAACGGCTTTTTGCATAAAAAAGAGGATACTGGTGATATTTCCACAAGAATCCTTCAAGAAATGAATTTTATAGCGAATCGAAAATTTTATCAAAACATCAAATAATAATAATAATAATATTTATTGAATAAGCATACATAATACATTATTCTCGTGAATACAATACAAAGAAAAAAAAATATTTATATTACATAATTTAAACACATCAACATCGCTTTATTAGACTCTTCAAATAAATAAATAATTGGTATTTCCTGATTCTAATTTAGTTACAAATTCCTGCACCGAATAGAACTCGCCTTCCAATAACATTCTCTTCATAGTAATTTTAAATTGACTGTTATTTAATGATCTTATTTCGGATGGTATCAAGTTGTATAACTTTATGCCAACATATTTGAAAGAATTCTGGGATTTTTCTATCCTATAGTACGGAACCTGAACATTTCCGTATCTTGTATGGTAGTCATGTATATCTGCATTTCGTGTATATAGGTGTTTCTGAGTATGAATATAAGTCAAGCAGGGTATCGTTAAAATTCCTAATTTTTTGAAAATTGTTCTACAGCTTTCCCGATTGTTTAATTCCTTTAAAATTCTTACCGCTTTTTTCTGCAGTTTAAAGATATCGATTATTTGACTAGATACCCCCCAAACTTCAATTCCATACGTTACCATACTGTGGAAGTAGGCGTAGTAAACGACTTTAGCAATATCTGATGATAAATTCTTGGTCACAACCCTTAAACAATACAACGAACGTGCTAGTTTCTTTTTTAGTTCATTAATATGCTCTGTCCAGGTTAAAGTTTCTGACAACGTAATACCCAAAAATTTAGCACTTTTATTTGTCACATCATCGTTCATTCTTGTATAAAAGGTCAGCACCTTGGTTTTTTCCTCATTAAGTTTAAGGTTGTTAAAATTGAACCATCTTTTAGCATCGTTTAATGTTTCTGAAGTTTTAAGTTTTAAATCGGTTATATTTCCGCCATAATTTGTAAAGGACGTATCATCAGCGTCCCTGCGGTACACCAGCCTTGACATAATTCCATTTTTCCCTTCCAATGAACTTGTTGGTATCTCTGATCAAGGTAGGAACTGAGTAATCTTTTTATACCTCCCTTCATTCCACACGCACTTATTTTTTCTATCAAAATTTTATGATCCACCAGATCAAACGCCTTGGTCAAGTCGCAGAAAGCAATTTGTGTAAACCTTTGTTCATCAAAATCGTCAAGAATCAATTGTAGAACACTTAGGAGAGCTGTAGTTGTCGATTTTTGAGGTTGGTACCCATATTGATATTTTGTTAGAATATTTTCCTCGGTTAAATGCGTCATAATCTTCTGCTTTATAATCGATTCAATAATTTTGACATAGTTGGCAAAATTGGCCGATATTTTCTACCTACATTTCGATGTCCAGGTTTCATTATTGGGACTATTTTGGCAAATTTTAGTTCTTCTGGAAAAATTCCTTCAACCAGGCATTAATTTATAACCACCGTTAGTTGATTTATTATTAATTCGTTTATTTCTTTGAGTTGCCTTACTGACATTCCATATATATCTTTTGTATTTGTTGTTTTCAAACATCTTATTATTTTTATAATGTCTTGATCTTTGACTTGTTTGATATGATCGATACTATTAATTATTTTCTTTTTTATTAAAGAGGCTGGATCGATACTTGTATTTCCAATGCTGTTTGTAATCACGGTTGATGTGCTAGATAAAAAGTTGTTGATATCATCAGCATCTATTTGGTAGTCTTCCTCATGCTTACATTTTATTTTTCCCGTTTCCTTCTTTGTTATTTCCCAGGCCGCCGCTATTTTATTATCTGAGTTATAAACATATTTACTTATAGCACTTCTCTTTGCTTTATCAACATGCTTTCTATATTCTTCTTTCAGGTGTTTGTATAACTTTTTGTATCTTTCATCGTTCGTCACATCAATTACTGTGTACAAGGCATTCAAATAATTTTTGTACTGATCTAGCTTATCAGTTTCCCATTTTATCTTTATGGTATCAGTAGATTTTCTCACACTTACCTTTGGAAAAGCTTCATTGTAGCAATTCATAAATGTGGTGTGAAAAAATGTGTAGCTTGCCTGAGCATCTAAGTTTTTATTACTTAAAGCACCCCAGTCACATTGTTTTAATAAATGTTTAAAGTTGCAAATAGTTTTTTCGTTTATTTTTCTGCACTGGATTATTTTTTGTATTTTCTTACCGGCTGACAGTGAAAATACCAACGATTGCGCCAAATGATCCCCAAAATGAACATTAATTGTATCTGTTTTATATATTTCCACGAATTTATGTGCAAAGATATTATCAACGCATCTTTTTCCTCCTACTC